CCTTGTTATTAACACTTCAGTGCGTACAGAGCTACGTCTCTGTCAGCCCATCACAGCTTGAGTGCTCAAAATGTTCATAGTTAAGACCTGATAAAAGTTATTCAGATAAGTTACTCTTATTAACATATTTATATAAAACCTGATGCTGTAATCACACTGTAATATAATGATTTGATAGAAATTAATATTCTTAAAATGAATGAGCAATTGCATGAGGTATTGATATTAGAGGTTGCATTGATCTGGCACGAATCCGGTCCATGAACTTCCGTCTGCTAGCCATCAGAGTTCACCCTTTCCATTTTCATTGACTCTCGCACTACACACTGTTGCATATCACCCCGGACTACATATCCCATCATTCATTGCACTGATTGCACACAGCTGTTTCATATCACTCACTCACTATATAACACTCACTCAAACAACCATTCTCTGCCGAGTATTGTATGCGCTTATCGCCAGCAGTGATAGCTACTCTACAGAGCCCTCTTTAGCTTCCTAGCCCAGCCTAGTCTTGCCTTGTCTGTTTTCTCGGTTTTTGATCTGTGTCTGTTTTCCTGGAGTTATCCCTTTAGTCTCGCCCTTGTGATCCTGTTCGCCAATCGTTGACCTACGCTAGCCCTAGGACTATTCTTGTGTCTTGCCCGCCATATACCTGTTTGCCACCGTTCGACCCTGCCTGTGTTTCTGACCTCCTCTCATGTTAATAAAGCTTGCATATGGATCCGCACGTCTCACGTCTTGTCAGCCCCGTTACATGATCGATATTGAGTGTTTAATTGTTCATGCTCATTTTCACCTATTTTTGTTTAGATCACCTTTGTGCCATCTAAAATTATCTTTAAAGTCCCACTGCCGTTACTAATTTGATCCCTTAAATCTCATCTTTGATAACCAAAATTACCTACTTAAATGTTATTTTTCCCTTTAAAAATAAATTGGCTTGAATATAACTTGAATAATACGCACTTTATTTAGTATACCTGGGTCAAGAATATGCAAATTAGTCCCCTCCTCCACTCAATCACACCAGCTCAGACTACCCGCTGCTTCACGTTCACTCAGTTAACTGAAGTAGAAAATGCCACACAATGGCAAGTGCCAGTATTTGATGAATTCAACCATATGTTTGAACCAGAAACTGATTCTGAAGAAGAAGAGGAAGAGCTTATTATAGCAGGTCATCTATAAGTTGATGTATCAGACTATTAATGCATCTTAATGTAATGCTCTCTACAACATTGGACACAAAACAGTAATTGATATCAGTAGCCTTTGGCTTGACTAACTTATCAAACAGCTAATATGTTACAAAAACCATATTCCAGTTCGCCATTTCAAAAATCATTTAAAACTTTGGTAGAAACACTTTGCTGCAAGTTGACAGGATTAGTTACACGTTTGTGAAGAAAGGGCAGTTTCATGCCACAATTTTTGAGACTTTGGTAGGCTACACTGCAGTTAAGGGGAAAATGCAAAGCCATGGTGTTGACTGATGAATTTGCACAAGGTTTGTCATATTAATACCACCAGACAGATATGTAAACAATGTTATAAACCCTGTTTTCACCACAGAGGGTCTTCAGAAACACTAATAACTTAATAACAGTTATTAGCAAATCCATTTTTTGTACTGTACATTCAAATTTACTTTTAGTATCATAATCGGCATCATCTGACTGAATAACTAGGAGTTCTATTTTGAGTTCTTGTAAACGGCCATGCATGTTCATTTTAGTTGAAAGCTAATTGTTATGAAATGCAGATTATCTCTGATGCCATCGGTTGAACGTGTTCTGTTTCTTTCTCTAGGCTGGACGATGGTCCATGTGCATGGACTGAAAACACCACAGAGACTTTAGCAACAATAGCGACAATGATCAGAGTCACACCCAAGCTTCACAGGGTGGGAGAATACAGCTTCACTGATCTTTGACTATGGCAAAATAGGGACTGCATTAGCTTTTGATATTCTATATGTTCATAAAGTAATGTGAGTTCAAAGCAAACTAAAAAGAGAGGTGTGGTATTGCATTTTTGAGAAAAACACTCATCTCCGATATCATATTCCTGTTTTTCATGTTTCTAACCGACGCTAAGAGATTGAAATATTACTGACCATGTTCCAATATTTGCACTACACTTACTACACTGACCTTGTGACCTTTTAGTAATTCCCTAGCAGTCTTTAGTCTAGTCCTAAACTCTGTGGTCTGCAGTGCACACGCTACAATGATTTGACTCATAGTCCTTCTGTCTTTTCTTGTCTCAATGCATCCTTTTTAGTTTTCATCTTGTACTCCACCTTATAGTTGTCACTACCTCCAGGCGAGGGTTTGAACAAAGCATTCCTAGGGAAGACCTACTTAGACACAGTTGCTTTCTCACGCTCTCTTTTCTTTCCATATAGCTCTTTTCACACAGACACGCTCACAGTTTGCCATCATACGATGCATCCAAACGTATGACAAGTCCAACCTGCTGTTAATCACTATTATGTGACAGCCAGTGCTTGAATGAGTAATTGCCTCTACACTGCAGACATGTGTTTCAGTGTGTACCTTTTAAAAGGTGATGTCATATAGGGAGATGTCTTCTGTTCAAGACAGCAGTTAGCATCTGACCACATTTTGGATATAACATACAGCAATGGGTTGTGCCATTTGCACACAGTTGATTGATATGTGGAGTGTGTCACGTAGCTCACGAAGAGGCCAAACATCAATGGACATGTCTCATTTGCCAGAGGCCACTCAGCAGGACTACCACAGACTCTCAGGCCTCCACTATACTTCTTCTTTCTCGGATGCGGAGGACTGTTGCGATATCACAAGCACAAGCTCGTCCTCCTCCTCGGACTATATCGGAATAGACTGTTGACACTTGTTGTGGTTTCAGACTTTTGCGGGTTACTCGCATCTTGTGCCAAATATTGCCATTCTTTTTGGCTCCCTCAAAATGTGACAGTGTGACAGTGAAATCTGCTTAGCCTGCCCAAATTAAACTAATGAGGTCTTTGTCTTGACTGTGTGGAAAGGGGTTGTGCTCTCATCCACAACGTTCCACAGTTCAGTTCCTGCTCAATTTGAGCAACAATCCCATTATTGTCAGGGAATGCAACGTGTCTATTATAACATAGCTGAAATATGGATGCTGAAATTGGAACTTCATTCGTCTAGAATCACCTTTTCTTTTATCATTCTGGATAAAAGAATATTGGTTTGGAAATTGGATGTTAATACTACAAATAAAGCTTAATGGTTTCTCCTGGGAGGAACAAAAACCTTCCAAATGAACATTGTGATATAATGATGCTGTTGATTTAGGCCTACTATATAAAAAAAAAAAAAAAGAAGGTATATTTATATATGTGGCTCGTGAGCGTTTTTCCTATTGATCTATTTATCCTCCAAGACAATGTTTTAAATATCTGATTACGCATATTGCTAAAGCCATTATAGAGTCCTATCAAAAGGGTTTAATAGTAATTAATTGCCCACTGTGTTGCTGCATTTAAAGTGATAGTTCACCCAAAAATGAAATAACTGTTATAATTTACTCATCGTCATGTTCCAAACCTTTATGGCTTTCTCTTTCTTCTGCAGAACATAACAGAAGATATTCTAAAAAATGTTGGGGTAACACTTTATTTAAAGCCTTTATGTATAATGCTAATTATTCATAATCTGCATTGTAATACATTACATCTCGTCGTTAATAATTATAACCGAATTTAAAATGCATAGTGTAACAATGAATTGACAAGTGTTATAATGTATTAACTGTGGTTACACTTATTCATAAGATTGTACAATGCATTATAAGGGGCATTAAGGTATAATTAATGCATTAAAACTACTTTAATAATGCATTATACATAAATGCTTTAAGTAAAGTGTTACCAATGTTGGTAACCAATCAATCACTTGTTGTTGGCCATAGACTTTTTGAATTGTATGGTAAAAAAAAACATATACAGTTGAGGTCAAAAGTTTACACCCCCCTTTCAGAATCTGCAAAATGTTAATTATTTTACCAATATAAGAGGGATCACACAAAATGCATGTTATTGTTTATTTAGTACTGACCTGAATAAGATATTTCACATAAAATATGTTTACATATAGTCCACAAGAGAAAATAATAGTTGAATTTATAAAACATTATTTGAAATATGGAATTTAAAAATCAGGGTAAATTTATCTTATTTTGTCTTCTGGGAAACATGTAACTATCTTCTGTATAGCCTCTAAAAGGCAGTACTAAATGAAAAAAATATATATTTTTAGGCAAAATAAATGTACATATCTCCATTCTGTTCAAAAGTTTTCAACCCCCCCCCCCCTTATGTATGATCCCTCTTATTTTGATAAAATAATTAACGTTTTGCAGATTCTGAAACTTTTGACCTCAACTGTATTGACAAAGAACCCTGCAGCCCTTTATAGAACTCACAGAACGTGTACATTTTTGTATTCCACTACGCTACTTTTCCAACGATTTCCTTAACAATGAAGTAACAGATTGGTATTTTGTGGCTTTTCTTAGTAAGAACTGATTGTTGGCAATTTCAACTTGTTAACACACTGTTCTGTAAAAATGTTACATTAGCCTACTTTTGATTGGAGTCTCAAAGACCTCAGACATAGGCCTACAAAGTGAATAAACATTAGTTGTTTATTATTTCTTCGATAATATTTTTTCTACAATGTGTTTTTCAAAATTACTATCTATTAAAAATTATTAATAGCCTATAGCTAAAGCTAGCCTACACTTTCCAGCAATAAACTGTGAGACTCCGGAATACCCAAACATAAAAAAAATGAGAGGTAATTCATTCTGCTGTTCAAAATTGTATTCCAATGGAAATTTAGAGGACGTTTTGCTATTAACGTGAATGTAGGCAAGACTGGAGTTTTCCAGTTGTCTTGCCCTATCCTCACATGGGACAGTGTGTCACGGGCAGGAAAAAAACGGAAGTATGCACTTCAGTGAAAGTTTCTTTCCAGGTAGTGAGGTTGGGCTAAACGGTCTGGGGTTCGCATATAAAACCTACTCCAAAAACGACTTCATCATAGCGTATACACACACACACAAACACACACAGTCTCCGTCTGTCGAAGTCAAGATGCTCGGGAGCGATGTACTGTTGTGCTTCATCTTCTACAGCACGCTTCTAATCTTAAAGATGTACATAATTGCCATCTTCACGGGCCAAGTGAGACTTCGGAAAAAGGTAAGTTCTGGAACTTTTTATTCATATGCTACTTATTAAAATAGTTTTCATGCTACTGCATCAAATACACTGACGCGAGAGAATCGCTGCTTCGGGTGCCTTATTTATAATGGATGAGTTTCTCGTCGCGTCGAGCGTGTGGAGTGTTTTGTTTTGAATAGAAATCTGCATACTGCAGCTGTCTGGATTAACTTCAGAAATTAAAGTAGGTCAGAGATGTGTTTTTATAGAATGACGTGACATCTAGATGTATGAGCTCTAAAACAGATACATGTATTTGACAGGCGTTTGCTAATCCAGAGGACGCCGATAGACACGGAGGTGTGCAGTTCTGCCGAACTGATCCATATGTGGAACGCTGTAGGAGGTAAACACAATAATACACACTTGTGATTTTATTCTGTAATGCAACTAATTTGAGCAAAACATTGGTATAAACAGCTCCACAAACATTGATGTAGCCTAGGCTAAAAAAATATGTTAACAAATGCATTTTTTTTGCCATGTTACATGTATGCCACTATTAATAAATTAACATCAGCAATACAAATGAAACAGCTCTACGAACAATAACAGTAGCACAATAGCATAAAACAATATAAAATATAATACATTAATTAAATGTAAGCTTTCAACACTATACAAATATCAATTTGATCAAGACATTAAGATACATATTGAAAAAGGAAGTTCCTGCGAGAAATATTTGATTTTTTTTGTTACATTTTAATGTAACATACCTATGTATTAGTTTTGGTATGCTGTCACTGTAATTTTGTACAGTGAATTTCTGTCATTTTGTTATAAATATAATCAGATTTTTTTTTTTACTTTGAATGTTGTATATTTTCCACTATTTCCATTTAGATGTTTTCCATTCATCTTCAAAAACTTGTTTTCATTTTTCTGTTCACATGGTTTTATTTTCTAACTGGGGAATGTTTTTAAATTAGTGTTAAAAACTTTGCGTGTCTATTATTGGGAAAGTTAAGCTTCAGTCTCATTCCCAGTGAACCCATTTAGTTGAAAAAAAAAAAACTGCAGGATGTCTGGCAGGTTTCCTTTAGTTATTTTTTAGCACTATCAACCTTTTCAGAAAAAGAATACTGGTATGACAGATGTGTGTGAAAGTTCACAGGTCTACAGTAGGAAGCATGATTAATACACAACAGACTAGCTAAGATATCTTTTATTTCCCCATTTTTATTATTTTTAGTCAAAATTAAAATAGGTATGCATTCTCCATGCCAATTAGCTCGAATGTGTTTCCACAGTAGACCTTTCTCAGTACCTGCATTTGTGTATGTGAGAGCATGAGAGAAAGAGAGACGATGTATTATGAGACTACACACTTTAAAACAATCATTGGGTGCCTGTAGGGAAACGTTCATTACTTTAAGCTGCAGGGTGCTGCATGTTTTTGTTTGGCGGTTTCGAACTTATCTTTAGAAAACTTGCCTGCTCTGCCCAGTCACAGCCCACTCCACTCTACATCTGCACAATGTGAAAACAATGAAGATGTTATTTCAGTAGACTGCTCTGAAATTACTGAATTTATATAGTGGCACTGGAAATTCACGTTTCCTGTAAATAAATTCAAGTTTATTTGTATAGCGCTTTTCACGATGCAAATCGTTTCAAAGCAACTTTACAGAAAATTAAGTTTCTACAATATATTTAGTAGTAGCTTATCAGTGATGACTGTCAGTTAATGTACATATGGCAGAAATGTACGGAAAAATCAATTAAATCAATAAATCAAAGGTATGTGATCTTGAGGACCTGAGAAGGGTAGCTTGTGGCTGCCAGATTGGTAAGATAGGGTAGGCTAGCAGGAGCAAGTCCTGACAAGACCGTGATTTGACCTTAATTGCAATGCATTCACAAAGGTATTTCACTACAACCCTGTGGCTAACAAATATCTACACGTGAACAGAAACAGGAAGATGGCGTTAAATAGAACTAATGGTTAAAAGTTCTTGTTTGGATCAACAACTTTACGTTGACATGTCAACAAAAATGATTTCAATGACAAACAGACACATTCTTCATCTTTTGAGGCACTTACAGAAGGAAAAAAAGTAAATATACAAGACATTTCAAAGATCATTATCTTATATTAACATTATAATAAATCACCATAATCTTTATTATTATTATGTTGTATTAAAATAATTATTAATATTATTTAGCTGCCAAGCAACAGATTAATAATTGAAAAGATGTGTGGTCACAGTGGTGCATATCATCTATTTTATGATCTCTTTAAGCCTGTTGCATACAATCAGATTTTATATCAGGATCTAAAGCTAGAATATTTTCTAATGAAAGTTGTAATTAACACATAAGTGAATGTTATTTCCTCTTTGAAAATTGAATCCCAGCAGGAAATGGCTTGTAATGGAAAGTCCTTGTTGCGATAAAGAGATGAGGAAGAATCTGTGTAATGCAGGATTTCACAACGATGACCAAGTACTGCTACGTAGCTATAAGTGTTGAGTTAATATAGGGAAATTTGACCATAATGTGGTGATATGAATGACAGCATAGTAGATTCATTTCTTTTGAGTGGGTAGCTACAGGAAGTACTTACAGCTTCCTATTGCTGTGATTTGTTCATGGGACAGCCACTGCCATGGCGCACTGTGAGAGTGATTCAGAGTGAAAGTAAATTTATATTGCAAGATCGTGTGATTTTGGCAACGTTTACTGTCCAGGCATGCCGCCACTAGACAGAGCCAGACAGTTTACAGCTGAAGTCCTGATCAAAGTGTACATTCCTCAGCTCCTTGGTTCTGAGAAAAGCAGTTTTCCATATGTATTTCCACAGTCTGGAACATTCAAAATACCTCAAAAGACTATTGAATCAAATACAGTTTTTAGAGTATAACATTACCTAGAAGTAGTCAAAAGAAAGGCTCAAAGAACAATGTGGAAATAGGTGAGGGATTTACATTTACATTTAGTCATTTTGTCATCGCTTTTGTCCAAAGCAACTGTGGAAACAATTGGGGAATACATAAAGCGATTCTTCTTAAAGAGGCAAACAGACGTTGAAATGAGAGATAGAGCTGTGTGTTATCAGCAAAATAACTTACCATGAGCTATGACTAAACAATCCATATGACTGATCATGCTATGCCAAACTACATCATCATTCATAAATGGCAACAAAATTGTTTGTTTGCTATACATTACCAATTACACATCCTATTTATTTTCAACAGCTTTCAGCAGTTTTCCTTCTCTTTCCTCTACACTATCACAAACATTTTTAATTGTGATTTACCTGCATTAATTTTTGAACTCTGTGTGTGTTTTTTCTTTCTTCCAGAGCACACGTCAATGACATGGAAAACATTTTACCCTTTTTATTTCTCGGAGCCGTCTACTCCATGACAGGCCCCTCGTATGCAGTTGCACGACTTCATTTTCTGGTCTTTTTCCTGGGTCGAGTTCTACACAGCATCGCATACCTGTTGGCACTCAAAGCACCGACACGTTCATTCGCCTATGTCATCGCTCAGGTGCCTTGCGTTTCAATGGCAATACAGATACTCATGGAAGTAGCCTCATTTGCATGACCATCTCAATAATGGACTTCTGTGATTGGTCAAGACTTATGATTACAACTGTGATGCAGAATGCTGCTTTATGGACTTACAGCATCTCAACAGTAACAGAATTCACATTTCACTTTAACATTAGACTTGATGATTTATGACTGACAATTAATAACTCTGTTCTTAAATCCTAACATTCATTGCTGTCATTTTAGGACTGGACACTACAGTTTGTATTGTGTTTTTATGTGCATTGTCATTTTAGCATTCAAATGAAGGTTATTTAATGTGATTTATTTTCACAATCAGGTTTGCATATACTCCGCATATTTATATATTTGATACAACAACTCCTTGAATGGACATTGAGTCTGTTACTTACAAGACTTTTGGTTCAGTGACCACCAGCTTTTCATTTTCATACTGCAAAGCTTACATAAGCAATAACTGCTGAGGTCAGTTCAGAGTCCACGTGACTGTTCCACAATAACTTTCCATACTTGTAAAAATTCCTCTGTTATTAGATCATAAGCCCTGCAGAGCCCAGGCTTTTCAAATTTATTGTAGCGTTAAATATACACTGTTGCGCAAACACTGTCCTTCCTCTTTGTCCACCAGGCTTTGGGTTTACAGCATTTCGAGAACAGCCGGGTGCTTTCACTTTGGTTTTTATCCTCAAGAATGCTGGTTTTGGTATAATGTTATGGTTGTGGTAATTCACCACACAGTGCTTTTGTTATTTACATTTTAAATATTTTCTGTTTTCAAAGTGTAACTTATTTTAATTTTTATATCACTTGTGAAGTGATGTTAAAGTTTCTAAAGAGATAATGAGAAAATAATAGTTTTTATATTAAAGGAATAATGAAAGGTTTTGTGTTTTCATGGGTAATTGTGATACTTTATTGACTCAGATCAAGAAATGAGAGACAAGTGGACTGCATACGTTAAAAACGAGCTTAGAGAGAACGGGACAAAGAGAAATCAAAGGACATTATAACGTGGCAGATCCCATTGTTACTTTGTACAAAAAGGAAAGGAAAAAGACTGACAGGGAAAGATAGATGGGTTCAAAAACTTAGTGAGAAAGGCATGTTTTTGCTTAATCTTAAAATTAAAATAAACCAGACCTCCAGAACTATCACCGATACCACGAACGTCCTGACTCAATCTTTAATTGGTTTGATGAACACACCACTGCCACCAATGGTGGAAGTAAATCAGGATAAATATGTGAAAGGGCAGCAAAAAAATGATCTTGCTGGAGAACATGAAGGAAAGTGAGTGTTTGGATTTACTTGTGAACCTATAATGACACATCGTCATCTGAAACATGCCCTTGCTTGTCATTTTCCCTGTATGCATAAATGTCTGCATACATACCTGTGTGCTCAGAGATTAAATCTACAGAAATATTCATAATACTGTAATAAACTGTGTCATATCCTGTTATAAAAAGAGCTTGTCAGTGGGGCAGTACCCTTAAAGGGACAACTTTGTACCTTATATACCCCTAAAAGTTGCATATTACCTTTACACAGCTGCATTAGGGCTGCTCTGTACCTGCTCAAAATTCAGTGTGAAGACACAAAAATCAAAGCCAGACTAAATTATGCCTGCTCAGACCTACCTCAAATTGCACATTTGTAATTGCTGTGGAAATGCACTTAAACCACCTCTGAGCAGCATTAAAGAGTCAGTTTAAAGACACCTAAATGCAGCTTCAGAAGCACTTTCGTGCCACCTTTGCAGTATAAATCTGGAGTGATAATATGTAGCCTACCCTTAAGGCCCTACTACGAACCTTTTAGGAGTAAATAAGGCACAGTACAAATGTGTTCCTTTAAGGGTACTGCCTCAGTGATGAGCTGTTTTGAGTGTAGCTACTCTAAATTATTTTAAAATAACAACCTTTTTTTTTAAAATAATGCCAATAAAAAGTATTTTTTTTAAAGTAAAGTAAAAAGCCACAATTTAAAACTATGCAAAATTATTTGACAATATTAATCTATTACAGATCTAACAATGATCATTTTGAACGTTTGGGCCAAATGTGGTTGATAGCTGTCACATTTGGCCAAGGTATGGCATGGCTGGGCACATATGGGCCAAATGTTCACCATATATGTTTTGCCATGCCTTTAGAATTGGAGGGAATTTTCTTTTGGATGACAATTTGTTTTGAGGTATTGTTTTGAGGTCCAGATGACAGCACACGACTGAGAGCCATATGTGGCTTGGCTATGGCACACTATGGAATATGTTAACCTATGGTTAACATTTGGCTTTTATTTGGAAAAACACCTGTTATAGTCATGTGTGGCAGGTTAGTGGCAGTCCACATCTCAACCCATTCAGCAATGCTATTGGTTGTTTTGTGTCTTCCCTTATTCATATTGGTGGATTACTATAATTTGGGAAATATATCCGTTATTTCCCGCTTTGCTTCCTCTTTCAATCGCCGTTAAAAAAGAAGAAGATGATGAAAAAGCTCCCTATATATGTAGCCTACCCTTAAGGCCCTACTACGAACCTTTTAGGAGTAAATAAGGCACAGTACAAATGTGTTCCTTTAAGGGTACTGCCTCAGTGATGAGCTGTTTTGAGTGTAGCTACTCTAAATTATTTAAAAATAACAACCTTTTTTTAAAAATAATGCCAATAAAAAGTATTTTTTTAAAAGTAAAGTAAAAAGCCACAATTTAAAACTATGCAAAATTATTTGACAATATTAATCTATTACAGATCTAACAATGATCATTTTGAACGTTTGGGCCAAATGTGGTTGATAGCTGTCACATTTGGCCAAGGTATGGCATGGCTGGGCACATATGGGCCAAATGTTCACCATATATGTTTTGCCATGCCTTTAGAATTGGAGGGAATTTTCTTTTGGATGACAATTTGTTTTGAGGTATTGTTTTGAGGTCCAGATGACAGCACACGACTGAGAGCCATATGTGGCTTGGCTATGGCACACTATGGAATATGTTAACCTATGGTTAACATTTGGCTTTTATTTGGAAAAACACCTGTTATAGTCATGTGTGGCAGGTTAGTGGCAGTCCACATCTCAACCCATTCAGCAATGCTATTGGTTGTTTTGTGTCTTCCCTTATTCCTATTGGTGGATTACTGAAATTTTGAAAATATATCCATTATTTCCCGCTCTGCTTCCTCTCCCACAACAGCCTTTGCCAAAACACTCTTATTCTGGTAAGTGCAGTTTTTGGTGTTTTAAATGTTTTCCAGGGGTGTAATGGCACACTTATTCATACAGAATACATTTTGTTCGTTTCGGTATGTGTACTGAACAAATACAGTGTCATTTTAACCACTGCATGTGAACTTGATCAGTTTCAGTTCATATCCATGAATAAAACTTCACTATACATTATTACAATAACAGAAATTTTAGCAGCGGGCGAATTTCCTAAATTAATATTCATACGGTGAAAGCTCTACCTGGTTTTTCGGTAAAACACCATGTCACCAAACAGGACTAGACTTCAGGGTTGCACCTAGCTATGTCTAGCTACATTAATCCGGATACATTTGAAAATGTCGTTTTCGTTTCAAAACAATCCCTGTCTACACTAGCGTTTTCAAGCATTTCCCCTTAAGTTTCTCGTCTGAAACGGCGGAAAGCATTAAATTAGCCTTACTGTGCATAAAACCTCATAAAAAGCTCACTGAGATGATACAGTGCTCACTGTGATGAACAGACAAGTTTTCATGCAATTTATCTCACAGGATCATTTTATTTACGAAAATATCCCACCATGCAGGTCGTTCAACAGTGATGAAAACGGGGCAGGGAGGGATAAATAGCCAATTGTTTAGCTTACGAAATGTCTCACCAAAAAATAAATAAACAAATAAATAAAACATTAGGAAAAAAAAAATATATTGTAAATGAGCTGTGAAAGGACCTTTATAACGTACGTGCCATTATCCCTCACAGCCTTGTTTTCATCCTCGTTAAATTCAATATGGCGTCTAACCTGATTAAGGTCTTGTTTGGGGTAGGGATGGGCTTCAGAGATGGGGACCAATCAGGTTGCATCTTCTCCACGAAGACAACCACGCGGACTATTGCTGCGTTCAAGTCCTCCTGGGACGTCCGTACTTACGAGTTGACAAGTCGTAATTACGACGTCAGGTGCATTCAAGTCAGTTTAGTCGGCACAAGATGGCGGTGTACCTTCTTTTAATACATTACAAGAAAATACAACAGGGTCTACTCTGCTTATAGAAAATGAAGAGCAAAGAATTCGCATCAGGTGTGTTTTGCGTTTTTAATATTTTTTTTAGACCAGGATCCCAGTATAACTGAACAAGTCGTAATTACGACGTCAGGTGCGTTCAAGTCAGTTTAGTCGGCACAAGATGGCGGTGTACCTTCTTTTAATAAATTACAAGAAAATACAACAGGGTCTGTTAACTCTGCTTATAGAAAATGAAGAGCAAAGAATTCGCATCAGGTGTGTTTTGCGTTTTTAATATTTTTAAAAAGTAATTTATGAAGCCACTTTAATCTGTATCGCATAAAAACTTGTTATTCATTGTTACATTACAATCCCGCCACATTCAAAAAGCTTATTTTTTGTAAATAAAAAGCCTGACAATGTCACTGCTTAATACCTATAAGTATTGTGATTTATGTTTTACGTTGGCAATCTTTATAGGACAACTAAACTATACATTTAAACAAAAATTTACCGTCAACTACAGATGTTGCATGCCATGTTTCTCATTGACACGCCCCCAACTCTGAAACTCGTCTCGGGGCTTAAAGAAAATTTGGAGTTTCCCACTCGTAATAACGACGTTGTGGTGGCTGGCGTTCATGTGCGTTCAACTCGTAAATACGATCTATCCGACATGACTTGAACGCACCATATTTCTCTACGGAATTGTCGGCGAGGTTTGCACTTTCACATTGAAAACGAACTAGGCCTACGGGTAAGTTCTTCCAAGTAGCTCCATTTTATTTACAGGTGCATCTCAATAAATTAGAATGTCGTGGAAAACATCCCTGTCACTTCTGTTGATTTTGGTCTGTCTATCAATGGTAAAGGCTGTTTGGGCTGCTGAAAGCCAGAAATTACTTATTAAAAACTACATTTCTCCGAGTCCGAGATTTGATTTCGAGACCTTTTCAGCACTTTGCGGAAACAATACTCAATTTGCATTACATTACGCTATTTAGTGATGGTTCATACAATGTCACTGAGGTTTTTATGACTATTAACATCACTGTCCTTTCATGTTGACAGCAGTTTGCTGACTCTGCAGACTGTTGCTGTCTCGAAAAACCCTTCAACATTGGGAGACCACATATCACTACTAGTTAATAATCATAGATGTCAATATATGCTATAAATGTTCAAGCATGTGAGTAGTATACTTACACTCGTTAAAACACAAACGACATGGTCAAATTTCATAAATATTTATTTCATATCGATGAACAATAACTACAGCAGTGGGCTACAGCACTTTTTCAAATAAATGCTATAATAATAATAGTAATATTTTTGAGGCCACATCTGAAACACTAACATTTACAAGTAGTACTTGGCATTAAAAACAATGGCAATACAATATTTTAAGACACTTGGTGTTTTTTTTAATTCATTTTTGTTTAATTTCTGATATCACAGAGTTTCTGCAACAGTCTAAACAGTTAATATCGATATAGATACAAAACCACTGTGAAAACAGTTAGGGGAGTGAACAGAAGGAGGGGGAAGACAACGGACAATATGCCAAAGGAAAAAAAAAAACTGAAAAATATATTCCATCAGTCTCTGGCTCACCCATTCCCTTCAAAGACAACAAAATAGCAAATAAATTATATGTAAAATCTTCATTTACAAAAATATTCCCAAGTTTTCCCTTTTTAGTTCAGTCTGCTACTAGTGTTAAATGGTTCACATTCAGATGGAGAAAGGTTGAGAGTGAGGGGTCATGCATTCAGCTAAGCAGTTTAATACTTACACCTCCTCTTGTGCTGTTCCTGAGGCTCTTGTGTTCTGGTGTCACTTTGATGACATTCTTTAAACATCTGAGTTTGAACTGTAAACAGCATAATCAATATTCTCGTTCTCTTATTACACAGCAAAAACCTTTTATTCGGTATTTATGTGTTGTTTTCCAGTTAAAATATCTAAACATCTTTAAATAATCTAAGAATATTTATGAGTATATATATATATATGTGTGTGTGTGTGAAATATGAGGCTTATGCCTAAATCTAGAAAAAAATGGGCCAAAAAAATAGAAAAAGTCTTAATATCGCTTTGCTTCTCACATAAATTCATCTTGTTTTAAGATGTTTAGATTCTACTAGAAAACAAGACAAAGATATTGGTGAAGATTTTTTTTTTTGGGCTGTATAACCTAGAGTCAGAGATATAATCTAAGTAACACTGGCTTTAATTCCTAGAGTTTTTTTGTTGTTGTACCAAATCCATGAGAAGAGTAAATACATCCTAATTCTAAACCATTAATACATCAAATCCCTTTTTATTTTATAGTGGGTTTGAATGGAGGCATGCAGGTGATCCAGAGCCCTTTTCAAGAAGCAACAGCACTTAAAGACTGCGTTTGACTGTGTGCGCCTGTAAATGAAGATGTTCATGGATCAAAGCTCATACTGTTAGCATAGTAAACAGCTGCACATTTACCAGATGTGGTGACCAAACTGTGTTCTGTAATGGTTTTTGTTTGCTTCCGCCTCATGACATGCAATCCATGGTCAGTCTGATAGAGGGCGCTAGTGCTTGACGGCTGCAGTAGAAAATGGCACTTGTGGGAGACTCCTGCCCTTTCTGCAGAGGGTTTGCATGTCAGGGTTTAAAAGCATGGTGAGGGTGAAGGCAGGTTAGACCATAACACTGATATACACAAGAAGAGTGTTTTATTTCTCCATAATACAATAGAACTAGAAAGGTATATATTTATATGTATGTATGTATGTTTACATTTGTATGTTCATGTGCATCTGGTCCGAGATGCATATAGAGTTTTTTACAACTTTGAAATAATCACACAATGTACAAATCACAGACATAGAAAACATTTTAAAAACACAAAATAAGGAGTTAAAAAATGTTTCATTGTTTTTAGGAGTGTCAATCTTACATTCAGTCTTGGAGTGAAAAGTAATATTTGCCTTGACCTTAAATTGTGGCTCAAAGCTTTCAAGCCATTTTTTTTTAAAATGTCTTATTTTTGTTCATATGGCTACACGTTTGCTACAAAGCTACAAATTTGTCCAAAAGCTGATGGAGAATGTGTCCCATCAATCATAGAAACTAAATCAAACCTTGACTAACTCAGATTCTAGTTTTTTTTTTTTTTTACATTTTTGGTCATTTTTTCTTTTTTCTTTAAACAGAATTCTGAAATAATAGCTGAGAATCTAAATTTTCTAGTTGTATTTCTATCTTATACAGTAAACACGGGATCATACACACACGCATGCATACATCCACCAGGAGTAAATTTTGACATCACCACACTGTATACTCTTTCAAGTTTAAAGCTCTGGGGATTCATTTGCGCACACAGATGAGTGGGCAGACTGAGGAAAACACAAAATTCAGCATAACATGGTAAATAAGAATGATATAAAGTAAAAGGTAGTAAGTAGGATGTGTAAGGTGAGAGGTGCACTTTGATCCACAGACTGTGATTGTCATCACTTAAGGTCCAGAATATCCTCAAAAGATGTGGAGAAGGTAAAAGGGCTGGCCGTGGGTGGGCTATCATCTCGTGGCTCCACCTCAGAGCAAAGCCGATGGACATCAGTTTCTGCATCTACAGACTCCATTCCCACTCTGATTAATTGGAGATATCTTATAGTCAGTATACATCACTGGTATACTTGCGTCTAACATGCAGAAATAACCTTTCACTTGCTAGGACTGGGCGACATATAGCTTTAAACATTATAGCGTGATATTTTCTGTCTACTTAACACACTGCTGTTCAAAAGCGTGGGTTGGTTGTTTTTAAGAAATAGCTTTTTATTGAGAAAGGACACATTAAACTGATCAAACAGAATAGTAAAGACATTTATAATATTATTATAAAATTATAAATTATGATTAAATAATACTATTTATTTTGAATTTTAAACAAATGCTGTTCTTTTGAACTTTCTATTCATCAAAGAATGCTGAAAAAATGTATCACAGTTTTAACATGAATAATAATTAAAAATGTTTCTTGAGCACCAAATCAGCACATTATAATGATTTCTGAAGGATCGTGTGACACTGAAGACTGAAGTAATAATGCTAAAAATTCAGCTTTGCCATCACAAGAATAAAGTACATTTTAAAATATATTTTAGTTTGTAATAATATTTTATTACTGTATTTTTATCAAACAATGACCCCAAACCTTTTGTATATTGTGTAGGTCTATATCTTTTTTTCTTTCAGTAACTGTAAAAAGCTGCAAAAGTCTTGAAATTATTAAAGCATGGGCTAAATGGACTAAGGAGATTTTTTTGTTGTTGTTTTTAAAAACTTGTAAAAATATTACTGTTTATTAGTAATGTAATATTTTAGTACATGATTTTTATGGGAAAAAATTTAATTGACAAAACATTCAACAGATTGAGTTTTGAACCAATTAATTGAAACGGTTTATGAAAATGACTGATTTAAGAAAATGAATTGAACTTACCAACTCTGTGAATTTATCATGAATATTCAATACGTATTGCCCAGCCCTACCACCCAACCAAAACACACACACACACACACACACACACACACACACACACACACACACTTACTGCTCAGTGGTGCTTATCTCTGCTGTTCTTTGTTCTTCCTCCTTGGTTTTCTTGCTCATTTTTCTCTGTTTCACTGAGTTACCATCAGCCTTACTGCTGGGTTCCTCAGTCAAACCTATAACAGGTACAGAGGACAAAGACAAACTCAGACACACACACATTCATATAATACTGATCATAATTCAACATAGTAAGCCGAAATTATAAAATGACATTAAATTGCACCTCCAGGAGGTGCAATAGTGCTTCCAATAGTTCACTCAGCCTTTCTTCTGTGTGTGTGTGTGTCTGTGTATGTAGGGTGTGAAGTGTGGCAGTCTAGTAATTCAAGCAGTTTATCTAATGTGTGATCAGGATGTCTCACTCTAACACTTCATAATAAAAAATGTCTGTCTCATCTCAGTTTGACTGCAGAACATGCATTACAACAGATCAAGTATGCATGTATCGTTACAGTTTTTGTTTTTTTATCACCCACAATTGAAAGGTTAATAATAAATTGTACTGAGCTGCACCACTTGTCCAACCCGCTGCGGCTGATTTCTTTTGGTACATTTCTTGCCAGCTTCCTGCTGTGCCGCACAAACGTAATGATAGCTTTCGGTTCAAGAGCGCACAAACACGGAGACACTCACCCAGCAGTTCTTTCCGTGTCCGGCTGGCGATCTCTTTGATCTCCATGCGAGACAGCGAGAGGGAGGTTGTGCTTGCGATCATGGGAGTGGGGCCGATCACACTGGAGGCAGGTGCCGTGAGCACTTTATTGACCAACGGAGACTTGAGGGGCCTCTCTATGCTCCGGCCAACTAGGTTGCTCAATGGGATCTTATAGATGTGTTTTGAGGGAGCTTCACCTTGAAGGAAGAAAGGGGTAGTTGGAAAGGGGCAAAAAAGAAGAGAGAGAAAACTAACGAATGAGATGTTAGAATAAATGGTGTAACTGCTACAGAGTTAATAGTCTGTCTAGGTGCAGAACTGCTGCTAGGCACATCAATATCTAATCTGCACAGAATGATGTTAAAACACACATATAAAAATGCACTCACACACAGAGTCACTGCTGAATCCATTATACTGTAATTAGACTAATTAGCTCAAATGAAAACAACTGTGTTGTACCTACCCACAGGTAAGCGTGCATTAAGCGTGCATTTGTGGAATAACTAAAACACAGTTTAATGTAATTCTGATGCAACAGTCTTTTAGTAAACACACTACCATTCAAAAGTTTACGGTCAGTAATAAATTTTTTTAAATGATTTTGAATTGATAAGTTCTTAACGCTAACCAAGGCTGCATTTAAAAACAGTCAGCAATATTAGGGAAATACTACATAAAAAAAAAATAAATAAAACTTTAATTTGAAAATATTTTACAATCTAGTTTATTCCTGTGATGCCAAAGCTAATTTAGCAGCCATTACTCTTCAATGTTGCTTGATCCCTTAGAAATCATTCTAATATGCTGATTTGGTGCTCAAGAAACATTTATTTAACTACTTCTTTTTTATGATGTTGAAAATAGTTTTGCTGCTTAATAGTTTTGTGGAAACTGTGATACATTTTTTCTTCAGTATTCATAAAAAAGGATACAGCTGAAAGGAACAGCATTCATTTGAAATGAAAATCTTATTCAAAATACAATTTAAAATAGCAAATTATAAATGCTTTTATTTTCACCTTTGATCAATTAAATGCATCCTTGATGAATGCAAGAAATAATAATAATTTCTTAAAAAAAAAAAAACAATCTGACCCTAAACCATTGATTAGTAGTGTAAGTAGTTATCTAATACCCTACTCTACTCTACTTTTTCATATATACAAGACCCATAAGTATTGCAACATTGGTACCCACCTCGGCCATGTTAACTTGAGTTTTCTAATCATTTGATTTCTGTTTTTGTGTCAGAGTGTTGTGTAGTCCAGGCCAATGTGTTACAAAATGCCACTCCAAATCGTTACTGTGTTCTGATAGTATTTGACTGTCACACTGCTTTTTCATGTTCAGACAAATTGCTCGGATCAGGAAACTTATCACATCACATCTGGTTAGAGCATGTCTGTTTTTATAGCATATTTTTCCCTCTCCAAAGTGTGGGCTTCAGACTCATGACTTGGACTTGAGTCAGACTGGAGTCTGTTTTTAGACTTCATTGCATACTTGTGACTCAACTCAGACTTGATCTGATGACTCCAGTTCACAGACTGACATCGTTGATTTTTTTGGGTGCACTGAGCCTAATCTCATGTTTACATTTGTCAACAGTTGTAAACATTCGGCCAAATTAGGTAAAACAGTAAGTTCAACCCAAATAAAGCCCACCAAATTGGAACAGGAATGGAATTTTTTGGGAAATTTGATGGTCCACAACCAGAACAGTCTGATTGGTTAGGACTGTTCGTTTAGTGCATGAAAATTATGTTTTTACAGTACAAGTCTATAAGGTAAATGTACAGCACCACAAATGTATCACGGTTAACTCTCATATTTTCTATCCGCTTGACTTAACTTGACTCTTGACTCAGTCTTGTAAAACAATGACTTGACATCATGTAGATAGCTAAAATAATTTCGAATAGATAGTCTCTAATACTCGTTCCTCAGAAACTAGGGCAACCACATGGGAAGGGCAGAGGGGCAGCCACTTAATCAGTGCTGACTGTCTGCCTATGTTAATGAAGTATTCCATGTATCACTTTTTGGTCATTTTGGGCAGAGCGAGAGCAGGAAATTATGGAAACTGCAAGGCCACTGGACCAAAATGGAGTTATATATCAACGTGAAGTGTCACCCCACCGGTGTCTCAATAAAAAAACAAAAACAAACAAACAATAAAAATATATATGCTGCCAGATAAAGCTTTAATAAAGAACCAACACAATAATAAAATACAATAATAAAAAACAAACAAACAAAAAATTGACATAAACCTTAAGAAATACTACCTTTATCTGGGTGAGAGGGTTCAATATGTGCATGTTATTGAATATGCATATGGGGTAGTGATACTATGATTGCTACAGTATCTTGAATACTGTGGAACAGTATTGGCATTTTTGATTAATAAACTACACAGGCATGGTGATTCAGAGCAAATAATTCACACACATTTTAGTAGCAACAAACAAGAATCTTGAAAACTGTAGTCATGTTAGATAAAAGAGCAAGGATCTGGTTAGAGACATGACAGTGTCCAACAGCATACACCAGGCAAGGAAGAACGCTTCCCCTTTAAGTTAATTTAGAATAATTAGAGAGTCATAATCAAACACAGGTCTGTTTTGTATAAATCCATGCGTGTGTCTGAAATACACTGAAAGTATTCCAAAGTCATCTTTGTACCATGGAACAGCAACTTGGGAAAGAAATATATACATACATTGTATTGTGTGTGTGTGTGTGCATATATATATATATATATATATGCACACACACACACTACTTATTTAAATTTGGGTCAGTAAGAAAGTAAAAGTACACTATGTAACTTTTTTTTGTTCAGAATTTACAAAATGTGCAATTATATTATGAATCTGTCTTCCAAAGCGTGTTTTTGTCTTATCCTGAATCATTATGGTATGACTATAATAAGTGTTTATATTCAGACTATTTTAGACAGAACAGGACGGCAACTGCTGAGGAGTTGTTTACATTAAATTAGCAATTTACATTAAATTAAAAAACAGTTATTTAAAATGAATAACATTTCACAACATTACAGTTTTCACTAAATTTTTGATCAAATAAATGCATCCTTGGTAAGCATAAGATACTTTTTTCAAAAACATAAAATAATCGTACCAAACCCCAAACGGTAGTATAAGTAAAATAATAATAATCAAATTTGTTCTATACAGATTGAAAGAAAATAAAAACATACAACACGAAATGGTAACACTTGACAATAAGGTGAAATTAGCTGAATTTAGCTAATGCATCATGCATTTACAACATGCATTAATCCAGGTTAATGTTAATTTATAAATGTAACATTGATAATTATTCATGTTTGTGGAAAAAACACTAATGTTATTTTATACTGCTTGAAATGTTAGAAATGAATTTGTAGAAAGAACAGATTAATAAATGCTGTAAAAGTACTGTTCATTTTTAGTTCATGATATCAAATGCATTAACTAATGTTAACAAATTGAACCTTATAGTAAAGTGTTACAATCTTGTTGTATTGTGAATGTTATGTTGAGATGATTAATGGTATGTTATCCGTCTATTTCCCATGGTGCAAAAATGGCAGCCACAGACAGTTGGCTGGATGTTTAAAAACACCAGGATGTGGATTTTGTCACAGCCCCTTGATGGCCCTCTTCAGGCCTTGTGTGTAGCCAAAAGTGCTAAGCTCTGGAGGGCCGTCCAGACCGCATGTTTGTGTATGTGTATGTATGAAGAGGGGCTCTGACAAAAGTATCCATGGTGACACAGCGATCTGTAACTCATGCTGCAGCAAATGTGTCCCATTTCCCTAAAGCGTCTGTTCAGCCATCTCTGTCTGTCTCTATGTATCTGTCTCTCTCTGTCTATTGATTTCCTCTCCCACCTCTCTATCTCATTCACTTCAGTTTCTCTCCACTGTTCATCTTTTTTCCTAAAGATTCCTCAAAACCATTTTATCTCTGTCTCTGTCATTCATTCTGTGAGACTGCAAGAAGGAAGGGACACATTATGTTAGCTGCATATTTCACTCAACACCGTCTGCATGCGTCTGTTAATTGAATAATAGACAGGGTGAGTCTCCGTGGTAGCGTGCATTAGTGAGGCAGCATGGGAAATGTAGGCAACAGAAGTGCCTGCAGTACCTTCAGAGTCTTTAGACATGTAGAGGGATAGCTTGGTGCCGTAGGGGATCCGAATACAATCTGGACCAGGGATGGAAAAGAGCAATATATCAACCCAACCCACGCACAGATTAAAAGACAAATGCATCGTAAGACAATACACAAACACAGACTCACAACTCGCATACAAAACTCGCTACCAGAAGAAATGCAGGACTCCTGAACGCTAATACCCATGTTTAACCTCTATATTAAGTTTAATAGCATGGGAATTCAGTTTAATTGTTCCATCAAGAGCAGAAGCCTACCATCTCCAAGCGGCGAAGGGAAGACGGGCATCTCGTAGCCAGTTGGAGTCTGAGGGGAACTCTGGGAACTAGTGTCTCTGGAGCTACAGTTGGAGGCAGAGTTTATAGGTGCTGACGAGATGAAATAGATATCAGACTACAGAAAAAAGAGAGGAAGAAATAACAAGAGAAAAACTGTAAGAAATGTGAAATGACTGATAAATGTTTGGAAAGGATTTGTATAATTTATACAGAAGAATTATTTATTATTATTTAATAAATATTATTTATTTATACAGAAGAATGCATCTTATAAAAGAGACAACACTGTCATCAATACGTTTTCAGCTGTTGTTAATAAATTTTCCATGTGTTAAAGCTGTGTAAATTCTTTTTTATTAGAGTGTACACTACCATTAAAAAGTCTGTGGTTAGTGAGATTTAAAAAAAAAAAAAATTTACATTTTTATTCAGAAAAGATGCATTAAATTGATCAAAAGTGACAGTAAAGACTTTTAAATAACTGCAAAAAAAGTATATTTCAAATAAATGCTGTTCTTTTGTCAGCAAAAGAAAAAACAAAAAACGATTTGATAAATCGTTCATGGTTTCCACAAAAAATATTAAGTTTTTCAAAATTGATAATACATTTGCCATTACAGGAATCAATTATATATTTTTTAAGATTTATTTTTGGCATTTTTGCCTTTATTTTTTTGCCCTTGAGTCGGGATTCAAACTTGGGATGCCTGTATCGCAACACCGCACTGCCCACAAGGCTATCGGCACTGACAATCAATTAGATTTTAACATGTATTAAAATATAAAACAGTTATTGTAAATTATAATAATATTACTGTTTTTAGTGTATTTTTGATCAAATAAATGCAGTCTTATGGATTAAAAAGTCTTACAGATCCCAAATATTTAAAAAGTAATCTAAAAAGAGTGTAATAAAAAATTTAAAATATGGTTTCAGACTGTACAATAAAAATGTCATTTACACCAGATAAATACACCGCTATAGAACGGTCTTCATAGGTAGAACCTTATGGCTAGAACACTTACTCTGGACGCAGTCAGTTGCAATTCTGGAACGACAGCTGTATATACTAGGTTGCCATTAACGACTAGTCGAATCTCTATGGAGTCAGTGGTGAATGCAAGGATATACGGGAACGCACACACTGTGACACAGGAAGTGACAGAATAGTGAGACATCTCAATTATTTCCACTAATGCAAATGCAAAACGAATGTTGAACTGTAGAAAAATTAGTAATAACAAAGAATTTTCAAGATCCTAAAGGCACTGACCAATAGCGTTGGGCATTTGGTTCCAGCTGAAATGGAAGTCTGAAGTATTGGGCTGAATCATGGGTGTTGCTCCGTTAAACGGACACACCTTCTTATAGACGCAGATATCTGTTAAAAGAAAAGTCCAGCTTTAAAGAATCTGACTATGCAGATGCAATCACTGACACTGTAATAGACACTAACTGTTATAGCAAAGAAGAAGTCCAGCCTCTCCATCTTCATACACATCTATGGCAGCAACAAAGTTCACCTGGAGAAAAGTAATAGACACTCATGTTACCAATCAAAAACTGACAGTTTGGTGTACATAACTGATAAAGGGAAGGGGAGGATATCTAGATCGTGTTATATTGTGTAAATGAATGTGTACACTGCTGTTCAAAAGTTTGGGTCAGTAAGATTTTTTAAAAGAGGTTTCTTATGCTCACCAAAGCTGCATTTATTTGATCAAAATACAGTAACAGTAATATTGTGAAGTATTACAATTGAATGTTTTTTCGATTTTAATATATTTTAAAATGTAATTTATTCCTGACAGCAAAGCTGAATTTTCAGTAGTCATTACTCCAGTTGTCAGTGTCACATGAACCTTCAGAAATCATTTTATATGCTGATTTGCAGCTCAAGAAACATTTCTTGCTAATATCAATGTTGAAAACAGTTGAGCTGCTTAATATTTTTGTGAAAACTGATACATTTTTGTCTGGATTCTTTGATGAATCGTTCAAATGAACAGCATTTATTTGAGAGAAATCTTTTGTAACATTATAAATATCTTTACTGTCACTTCTGATGATCAATTAAGTGCATCCTTGCTAAATAGAAATATATATATTTTATATAAAAAAGAATAATCGTCCTGACCACAAATGGTAGTCTAGCCTATGTTTGTATTCAAGTGGCTGTTTCTCACCCGGTTGGAGTCTACATGGTGTAGTCTGTAAGCGTCTCCTGTACTCTCATTGATCAAGTCAAACTGATGTCTGTAGGCCACACAGATCATGTGATCATTCTCTCCTGTTGGGCCATCAACCAGGGCCATGACCACCGGCGAGTCACATAAACAGATCTCCTAAGAAAGGAGACAGCAAACATTCAAACATTTGTCTGTGAGAACCGTTCCTATAAACTACAAGTGACAATAAAATGCAGTTAACTTCAATGCATGACATGTGTAAGAGTGCTGAATCCGTCTCATACCCGTATGTACTGGAACTCTTCCACAGGTGAGTCAGTAGTCCCTGTGACTGTAGCGATAGAGCCAAGGCAATCGAGGCGTGACTGTTTCCTGGTGATCAGGAGGAGCTTGTTTCTTATCGCCGCAACGATTCTGAGCTCCACCCCATGATGCGTGTTTATGGAGTAGAGATGGCAGCCTGAGGAAACACATTTCTGTTACTTGACTGCGATGATCTTGGAAATCATCTAATTTCTTAGCTAATTATTAAATTCTTCAAGAAACTTCAAATTTGTCAAATAGACAGCATAGCTTTAAAAAGCTTATAGGGATCGTTCACCCAAAAATGAAAATTCCTTCATTAATTACTCACCCTAATGTCGTTCCAAACCCGCAAGACCTTTGATCATCTTTGGAACCCAAATGAAGATATTTTTGATCAAATCCGAGATCTTTTTGACCCTGCAGAGACCGCAACAGAACTCCCACGTTCAAGGCCCAGAAAGGTAGTAAGGACATCATTAAAATAGTTCATGTGACATCAGTGGTTCAATCGTAATTTTAATATTAAAGTTGTTATTTTTTGTTTTCTTTGCATACAAAAAGTATTCTCGTAGCTTCTTAAAATTAAGGTTGAACCAATGATGTCACATGGACTATTTTAACGATGTCCGTGCTACCTTTCTGGGCTTTGAACGTTTCAGTTGTGTTGCTATCTATGCAGGGTCAGAAAGCTATCGGATTTCATAAAAAATATCTTAATTTGTGTTCCGAAGATGAACAAAGGTCTTACGGGTTTGAAACGGCATTAGGCAAAGTAATTAATGACAGAATTTTCATTTTTTGGTGAACTATCCTTTCAACTACTTTGAATCAGAAAATTTCAATTTAGAGTTTAAATAATATTGTCCGATTTTAAATCATTTCAAATATTTGTGTGGGTGATGACTAAAGTCCTTCTTTCGTACCTTTGGTTTTCTCAAGCTTGTTTTCTCGACTGTCACACTTGGTGCGGACAAGCTGCCGCTCTTCTATCCCCCGTTTGAGAGTGCTCAGTCTGTAAACATACAGTCGAGCATCTTTCCCTGCAACACAGTCGAAATTGGATATAAAGCAATTGGAATTAAAGCTTAATTTGATGTAAAGACTCAAGCACTCTGGTTCAGTTTGAATATTCAAATGAGTGTGTTTACTTTAGCTGTTTAGTGAATTCTACAAACAACAGCTTTCAGAACCGTAACTATATGATAACTGGCTGGCAACAAATGAGAGACCCGTCTCATCAAACTGAATGACATATCAGCTAATGCAACATGTTTGGTTTTCAAATGCCTGTCGTAGTGAATGAAAGTTGCTTGGTGATAACCAATTCATTATTTTCCCTCTTGGAGAAGCTGTGCTTTCCAATAAGAGTGAGAGTGTGCTCTACACCGTCTTGAACTAATGATCAGAATAGAAAAAGGCGGAAGACTCTAAATTACATGGATCCCTAGTCCGTGCTTCTCTTTATAATGAGCTATAAGTCTAGACAATGCGAACCAGATGCTGCCCGCATGTGTGTGTGTGTTTGAGATACTATTTTGTGCTATTCCCTGTTGGCTAAAGATGCTCATTAGAGCAAAGACCTAGAGTTTCCTTCGCCGCTTTGCTTTGGTCTCTTTCTTTCTCACGCTGTCTCTCTTCTGGCAGATCATTTCACACCCTTTCTTCTACCCACATACGAATTGTCTCATATTCATATGCTCATGTAAATAGAAAAACAACACACATCTTACCCTTATCTGCTCTTGCAATGAGGAGGTCCTGAGGTTCAAGCACGTGCATTTGTTTGACAGTCAAGGTTTTGTCAAATACCTGCACCGGAGGCAGGGTTGGTGAATCTAGATCAGCATGCAAAGCAAGATTAGTTTGTGGTCTGCATGGTAACTCAATCCCCCACTGAGATTTGCTTGCTTTGATTAACAGACACATTTGATAACTATCACTGTAAAAAAAACGTACTGGGATAAATTCTTTGTAGTATTTATAAGCATTTGTTTCTTCTGTAGTGTAGTGGTTTTGCTTTACATACCTGCTTTGGAGAACAGTGGATCTGAGGCTAAAAGGGAAGATAGAGGTAATCAAATTTCAGTTTTTTTGTAAAAAAACAAAAAAACAAGAAAGTGCCTTGAACACTACCATTCAAAAGTCTGGGGTAAGTATTTATTTATATTTTTTAAAGAATTTAATACTTCCTTATTCAGGAAGGACACATTAAATTGATCAAGAGTGCAATTAAAGTGATTTATACTGTTACAAAATTTAAATAAAGGCTGTTTTTTGGAAGAATCCTGAAATATGGATTATTCATTGAAGGTTAAAATCCTAAAGCATATATTAAGCAGCACAGCATATTAGAATATTAAAAAGATTTCTGAAGAGTCTGAAGACTTTTCAGCTTTGCTATCACAGGAATAAATTACATTTTAAAACATTAAAACAGAAAACTCTTATTTTAAATTATAATAAAATTTCATAATCCTATTTTTACTGTATTTTTGATCAAATAAATGCAGCCCGAGTGAGCATAAGAGAGTTCTGTCAAAAACATTTAAAATCTTACAGACCCTCTTTTGAATGGTAGTGTATATTTCATTTTGTCATCCTCACGTTCCAACCCTTTGTGATTTTCTTTTTTCCAAAGACATAAAAAAAAAGTTATTGTCGGCACTAGTATTTTTGTGCATTTTGTCAGTTTGTAAGCTTGACAGCCTCTTCTCATTGTTCCTTTTTATTGTATGGAAAAAGCAGCATCAAAGTTTCTTTTTGTAATCCCCCCCAGCCCCCCCAATATTTTTTTGGGGTTTAATTGTCCTTTTTAATGTAAATATTATTGAAATGAACTCAGTTCAATGTCCATTAATACAATCCATCAAAAAAACCTGGTCAAAGTTACATTCAGTCTGTCTTTACATGTAATTTGTAAGAAAACTGCTCCTCTGTCCATTTGTATTGTTTCTCATGAAAAAGCATTCTCACCCTCCAGCAGCATGACCCCTGCTGAATCTGTGGCGACCAGTAATGACTGTCCCCACGAATCTCCACAGACTATATCATACGGGAAGCTACTGCAGAACGACTGTGACTCCCATGGCTGCAGAGAACATGGCAACACACAGTTAGAGATGAACCGAAAGCAAAATAACAGCATCCATCTCACTTTCCTCTTGCCCTCTCACCTCTTTCCTGCAAAGACCAGTGGTGACTAAACTGGTGGGTGCATCCCCTCGAACTATAGTTTTCAGCTTCAAGGCCTGGACGCAATATTATATCTATTAATGACATTACTCATATTGTGACATTGTCTTTCATGCCACATCTTTATATTTTATTCGTATTTCTACATCCTACCTGTCCCACTCGAACAAACTCAGCCTGGCGTGCCTCTTCTTTTTTACGGGCGGATTTGGGTGACTCTGGCAGTACGTCGCTGAATGAGCGTCGGTTCAGCATGTTCTGCGGAGAGAAGGGAACCTACAGGAGCGGTACAGATAAAGATGGGTCTGAGAGACTGACCCAGAAACAGACAGAAAGACAGAGCAAAGCAGAAACTAACAAATTATTACACCACTGTACCTTACCAGCCATCATAGATAGAGTTAAGAATCAAATAATGATGGTTCAAATTCTGATTCTACTATAGAACACTCATTTATGAGTCTTTTTGATAAAGAACTGATTCAAAAGATTCATTTGTTAACAAAAGTTATCAGCTGAACTGTTTTCTTGCTGCATATGAGAGCAACAGAATGGTTTACTGTCAGAGTAAGATGAAAGTAAGATTTTAACTAAACAATACAAAGACAGTAAGTCTTTGTATTGTTTAGTTAAAATATGACTCTTTCATTCAAATGCATGGAACTGGTTCTTGATTCCCAACTCTAGTAAATGAAGAATAGAAGAACCCTAAAACAGGAACAGTAACAGACAACAATAAAAAGACAGTGTCCATCTCTAGTGGCAACTGACAGGGGGCTGCAACAGAATGAAAGTGCATTTGAAAGCTCAGTGGTTTGGAAGAGTGGTGTAAATACGACTAAAAAAGAACTGTGTGAAGAAACAGTGCAAAACATCTGAAAATATATGGCAGAAAAGGAAATGAGGTAAAAGTCTGAGGATAAACATAGTGAAATACAGAAAAGTATTGCGCTATATCAGTGCTTTTCAACCTTTTTGAATCCAAGGCCCTTCTTTGTCCACAATAGTATTTGAAGGCCCCATGACTCTTTCAGTCATTTGTAATTTACAAGATAGGGATTTTTTTAAATGTATCATTTACTCAAAATTTACTAAAAAAAAATATATATATTTCAGAGCTTGGCATAACTTGAAAAATATGCATTCATTATGAAAAAAGGTTAATGAAATTAAAAGATTGCATTTTCAGGTCTAGGAATCACACTATTAAAATTTGGCTTCCTCATATATATCAGTTTTCCTCATATATATCAAGACAATGGGAACGCTGATTCTTCAAAAGAAAAAAAACTGTTGTTTAGAGGTGAATTAAAGTAAGAGATATCTTAATTTTTAGTTCTTTTGGCTTATTTTAATTTTGAGGCCCCCTTGGCAGTTTGCTGAGGCCCCCTAGTAGGCCCCGCCCCCTGATTGAGAAACACTATGTGTTCATACCTTGGGCATGTCAGGCATGAGATCCTGGTACAAGGATCTGATCAGCATGTCCAGTGTGCGCTGACGTTTCTGAGCAAAAGTGGGGGTCTCGAGAGTGGCTTTTTCTCCATTTATTACTATAGGAGACAGAAGGATAAAGGTAGCAGTATTATGTAACAGAATTACCCTTAAGAAACAGCATGACTCATTTTACAAGGTCTGTTTAATGAAAGCATCTGCTTTACTGAGTTCATGAGCCAAAACAAACCATTAAAGCTGGCAACAGAAAAACACAGGTGTATATTCTAACAGGAGGTCTGTGTGAAGCAGACAACATGAAATGACATTTGGAATGCATTTAAAATTATGTAATCTATTTTGACTGGGACATGAAATATTAGTAGTCTTAGATTTTATGGCTTAAATTATTATTAATAGGCTGTGATATGGCTGGTATTCACAGGCTTGGTTACATCAGCAGAAAAGTGATGTTTCAGGGGAAAGTTGTTATACTGTATTTTGGTGAAAGATTATGAACACAACTTTATGTACTGGTGAATTTACTAACATTTAACTAGTAAAAAGTCCCTGAACTCCTGGTGGTCTGTGAACACTGGAGGGGAAGGGAGCGGTGGGCCAAACAGCGGCACACTCTCCTCTGAGAAAATCTTCAACCTGCAACAAAACAAAATTATTAAGATACAAATAATATACACTAGCATTCAAAGTAGTTTTTTTATGTTTTTGAAGTCTAAAATATTATTATAATATAAAATATGTTTTCTATTTAAATATAATTTAAAATGTAATTTTTTCCTTTGAAGACAAAGCTGAATTTTCAGCAGCTATTACTTCTTCAGTGTCACATGATCCTTCAGAAATCATTCTAATATGCAGATATGATCAACTTTGAAAACAGTTGTGCTGCTTAATATTAGAGCTCATATTATATTTTTAAGGATTCTTTGATGAAGAGTTCCTGTTCAAAAGAACAGGAATGATTTGAAATATAAATTTTTGTAATGTCCTTACTTTCATTTTTGATCAAATTAATGCACCCTAGTGGAATAAAAGTATTAATTTAAAGGGGTCATATGATGCGATTTCAAGTTTTCCTTTCTCTTTGGAGTGTTCTAATCTCTTGGTGCATAAAGAAGATCTGTAAAGTTGCAAAGACTAAAGTCTCAAATCCAAAGAGATATTCTTTATAAAAGTTAAGAGTCAACCACGCCTATCTAAAACGGCTCGTTCTAACACGCCCCCACATGTCTACGTCACGTACGTCATGTGGAAATATTAGCATAATGCCGCCCAAATGTGCACGCAAAGAAAGAAGGCATGGTTTCAGGAACAGCAGCAGTGTTGATGCAGCATGTCAGGGAGACCGCTGTGTATTTCAGTGCGAAAGCAAAAGCACTTTATTTGGCCTTCCGGAAGTAGATGCAATTAGGAATCATTGGTTAAGATTTATTACAGAACAGCACAACCCAGATGTTCGAATTTGTGCAACGCATTTTATGGACG